ATTGGGAACTCAAGTTACACTTAAAAAATAGCACAGTGTTTTTATTTTTTTAAAAAATTATTTTTCTTTTATGTGTATGCATGTATTGCCTGCATATATGTAAGTGCACTAGTATTGTGCCATGCCTGTGGATATCATAAGAGGGTGACAGATCCCCTGGAACTGGAGTCACGGGCAGTTGCTGGCTGCCAAGTGGTTCCTGGGACTTGAACCCTCGTCTTCTGGAGGAACAGCCAGTGTTTTTAACTGTTGACCCATCTCTCCAGTTCCCACAGTGTTTTTTTTTTTTTTTTTTTTTTTTTTTTTTTTTTTTTAATGTATCATGCTACAACATCAAGTACTTTTCCATTTCTCTTCCCTAAATACAACTATAGCCTTTAAGTTGGTCATGTGTACATTGGGGAAAAGTAGAGACTCAGGCTTTTGTCACTTTTGTCATACTGTTTTTGAATAGGGATTGTTTCTATCAGAATCCAGACCGTTTTGTTTCCCTATAGTTAATGACAATGCATATGGAGTTGATGTCATCAATGGAGTTGCACCCAAAGTCTGACTCAGATTAACAATGTGCCTAATTTCACCCTGCAGCTATTTCAGAGTCCATAATTTGTATAAATATTCTTAGAATTTGGCATAATCCTCACATTGGTCCCTTGGCTTGTGAACTGAGGGCTTTTGTGGTTGGAAAATCGGGATGGAAATGATCAAAGCTCCTGTTTCAGAGAAAATGTGAGCCCAAATCACCCTGCATTCCTGGAGGGACTGTAAAGAACATTGCCACTATTCAGAATTTGAAAGATGCAGGGGGGTGGGAGAGATTCAACATCTCACTTTAGCAGTCCTAGTTGCCCTGTGCAGAATATTGACGGAAATATAACCATATATTTGTGTAGACATATTTGTTTTATATGTAATCAATCCATGAATATAATTGCAGCTGTGGTGCCAGCTCTGGTATTCTTACTTAAGCTAATTAGCATATCAGTAGGAACTCGTGTAATGTTAATAGTATTGAAAATGCTTTATCACCTTACATGTTCGTAAGGACCACCAGAAGAAATTTTCTTTCAAATGTCAGGGCCAGCATTATTGTTTTCCTGTTCCACATCAACTATATATTAATTCTGTATTCCAGTGTCTTAACATGGTTTACAGGGAACCATTAGTACCTACATCTCTATGATTTTACATGCTATGCAGCTATGAGCCACAAATGGAGAGTTGCACCTTTTTAGTATGTTTCTGTCACATTTCTGAAGGAAAATCGTGAAGGTAAGTCTTCACGGTGATCATAATTTTAAGCAGCGTTCATGATCATGCATTTTTCCTGGAAATAGAAATGCACAGAATTGTGATTATTTACTGATTCATGAGCTCAACCATTGGTTTCAGAGACCTTGCAGGAGCATACTTGGAAAACTGAGTAGAAAGATATTTGGTGGAAACACAAGTGGATAAAACACTTCAACTGGACAAAAGATGTTAAGATAATTATGTCCCATGTAAATGCTCTTAAAAAAAAAAACGAACTCAGAACAAGATTTCATTAAAGAAGTAATAGAACAACCATTTCTTACTAATCAACTTCATCCCCTCGCCATCCATTTCACTTCCAAAGGGCCCATGAACAAACTGGCAATAGTGGCAGTCATAGAATTTAGGAATAAACTCATCAACATGGTTTTCTACTGACCAGGACTGATGTGACAACAGCTGTAGCTTTGTGCTAAAGTGCACACAGTGAATTCCATCATTCAGAGCCCCACGTTGGACCATTCTCTACTGATTCCAGACAGTAACATTGTTATTGGTTGTCTACACCATCATAGAAATGGTGCACTCCATTTTCCTTGCTGAAGTGGATACTATTCTAGTTCTGAATTTGGTTTTCCTACCCCATTGTGACAGCCATTCTGGCCTCCCTTCGGGGGAATTCCCCCTGAAGCCCCTGAACAGGACAATCTCCTATTAAAGGAGGTAGATGAACAAATACAACAACAAGATGCTAACGGATTCTTGTTCTGATGAAACAATAACTGCTAATGATGATATAAAAAATGAGGAATTGGGGTTGAGAGCTCCCTTGATGAAAAACAAGAAGTTAAGACTGCCTCTGCTCCACCATTACAGGGCGGTGGCTACCCTCTGCCATCTTATACTAGCTTTAAGGAAATTTCCCCCAAATCCATCTACCCCTCCCTCCCAGAGGAGTACTGGAAGCTCCTCCTGCCTAGGCCCCTCTTCTATGATACAATGGGAGATTCTTCCACATTTCTTCCCAGTTTCTGTCAATCAGGGATAACAGAACCCCAATGTCTGGAATCCGTATTCTCATGATACCTTAAAGAAGCTGTGTATGGCAGCAGTTGATGATGGCATTCATTCCCCCTGGTTTGGTCAGTTATTAGATACAATCAGTCATTCGGCCAATACCCCCTATGACCGGCAGAATATCGCCCATGCCTGCTTAAAGGGAGGCAATTTCCTTTTATGGAAAGCTGCTTACCAAGATGAATGTGAACAACAGGCAGAGTGCAATAGAAATGCCAACGTCCAAAACATTGGAATTGATGCTCTAGTAGGACGCGACAATTTTGAGACCACCAAGCTCAGGCACAGGGACCTCCCTGCTACTTTGAACAAGTACAGCTTTGTATGCTTTGTGCTTTTCGAAGTATGCTGACTCGCGGTGATACCAAATTAACCACATTGATACAAAAACCAGGCGAGTCTTTCTCTGATTTTGTTGAGAGATGCCAACAAAGTATAAATAGAAAGATCAGTCATCAGGGAGCTGCCGATGCCTTGCTCAAGGATCTTGCATGTGAAGGCTGCTCTACAGAGTGTCTCCTTGCCATAGGACCCATTAGATACAAGGATGTCTCTGAATGGATTCTGGCCTGCCAAGATGTGGGGACCACTTGGACCCATGCTGTGGCCCTTGCTGAGGCCGAGATGGACAAAGGCAAATGTTGGGCCTGCGGGGGACAAGGACATTGGTCACTTACCTGTCCTAATAAGATTTTGAAAGAGGCCAAAAGGAGCCAGGTCAGCGAGAATTCACTTCACTTCTTGGTCCACAAATAGCCCGCCAAAAGGAGCCCATGCCTCTGTACCCTGCTCACAAGACCAGTGACTGCTGACAGACTGTATGGCACGGACCAATCAGAAAATGGTACGCTGACTAAAGGGACTTGGGGGTGGAGAAAAGGGAAATATAAGGCCTACCCCCTCCTGCATTAAACAAACCTGCAGCACCTCGCCTAGTGCTTGCTTCTACCTGACTCCTGGTGTCTGTGTGTTGACTCCACGCCTCTTGCCTCCCCCCCAATCAGCAGGGGACCTGATTCAGGTCAGGGTCTTCACAGTTGGCCTGAGGAGAACCCGCAACACTTGGAGCCCAAACAGGGGCCCCTGCCCACGGTGTTGGCGACACCCAGAACCTCGGTTCATTCAGTAAGTAGGCCCCTGGATTTGTCTGTTTCTTTGGCTGCTCGAGTGAGCAAGTAGCCCCCTCCACTGTCCCTTCCACCCTGTCTCTCGTCTTTATTGTTGGACTAGTTTGTTAGATCAGGGAGGCGCACCCTGCCACATGGTCCTGAACCCCACATTGGCACCTCCCCCCTCTCGGCTCATCCCGGTGAGTTCACATAAGGGCTGATCCACCCTGAACTCAGAGCCCAGGCTTCGGGTCACCCTGTTGCCTGTCCTGGAGACACCATGTGAGCATACAGCTGGAAGTGTCATGGCCTCCAGCAGTCCCTCACTGAGCACAAGACATTTGAATCTGATACACCTTTACATGTTGGGGCAGTGTACATCCGAGTGGCTCACAGTGCTTCTTTTCTTCCTTTGTGCCCTCTTGGTAGTCACCTTCATCTTCTACTTTTGTGGTGAATTCCCCTTCCCGAGACCCTCCCAC